ACGTGCCTGTAAATTAACACATGAATAAATTGTTGTTGTTTTTATAATGCCACAAAAGAAACAAGTGTATTACGTTTTCAAATCTGTTGATGAGCTCTTTTGTCCAATCTCCTGCTGCACGTATATGGACACTTAAATAGTCATCTCCTGGTGCAGAAGTGATAGAAAATGGATGCCTGTAATATAATGTATACAGTGAAAATAAAAACATATATATCCAAATTCAAGTAATTAAATATTAAATTAAACTTCCAAGCATTATCTTAAGTGAAAATTATATGAAGTTAATGAAGAGAAACATTCCACTTTCATATTTAAATCCTGGAGGTTTTGTCAAACTGCAGTGCTACTGGAGCTTGTTTTCCATATACTCTTGCCTCGGAAAAAAAAAAAAAAAATCCCACAAAAACGGAAGAAAAATGAAAAATCTTGACCTTTTGCCACGGGGCTATAGCGACGAAAAAATTTCATAACCTTTTTACCGACAATTTTTTGATCTTCAGCGACGATTTCTTTCGTCATCAAATTTGAAAATTCTTGCAGTGAAGCTCCCTCTTGAGAGAATAGTGCACGCCGAGCTGACAGGTCGGGAAAAAAAATCTTGGGCTCTCGTTCTGAGACCGAGCTCTGCTGCATGGTAAATTCGGCCACTGGTACAACCAATAGTGAAAGCCCACCGCATAGTAGAATAGACCAATGGGACGGGTACCACACCTATTTCATCTCATATAAATACACACTCACTCCACTAAATCAGGTATGCAAATCCGTCTACAGCTGATCAGTCCAACTCGTGCCTAAAACTAACTTGAACGTTGGAGTCTTCTACCTATTTTTGCAGGTCTTTTGTCTCCAGTTGATCCAACAATACGTCGCTAGCTCCTGTTCAAATTACTCATGACACTTGAGTAGATTTTGACATCAACAACCTTTAATAAAATTTTATAGTTACATTAAAATATATTATTGAAATATCTTGTTAAGATTGTGAAATAAATGAGATAAAAATCAAAATGAAAAAAAATAAAATAGTCGCTTTTTAAAAGTAAATTTATTTATATTTAAAAAATACAAAAATAATAATTGAAGTTCGAAGACCTTTTCAGATTTTAGAGATAATTACTATGTTATTTACTTCTCCAAGAAAAGCAACATATACACACGTGTGTGGATGAGGAAAAATAACAAACTCAAACCATTTCTTAAAAAAGAAAAAAAAAACTTAAACCAGACAAATAACTAAATAAATAAATAAATAACTAATTACAAAACAGTTTCTAACCAAAAGTATTAAACTCTAATATCCTCCCCTTCCTTCGTTTGGCCAAAAATATCGAGTTCCAAAGTCTTTAAATCTAAAAACCCAAATGTTGATGCAATTTTTGGTAAGTTGGTTGGATTCGGAGTCGATGAACTGGATGGGCTGTTGAGTAATCAAAGAAAGGTTGGGTCTAGTTAGGAGAAGTCGAGACTCAGTAGGTTGTGAGTAGAAGAATGACGAGATCTTGTTGGTTGGGAGTTGAGGCGAAAGCGACCTAAAAAATAGAAGATGAGTAGATGACGGCATGATTTCGACCTACCACACTTCGATACTTTAAGTCAGTATATGAACTTAAGAAGAGAGAAGTAAAAAGTGGTTTAAGAGGAAATGATGTATCTTGAAAGCTCAGAGGTCCTTTCTATTTAGCTTTTGTTGGCAGCGTGAATGGACCTTGAAAAGTCAAAGAGAGAATGTTAAAGTCAACTCCCACACTATATTCCACTCTATAATGGGACCGAACCAAAGTTAAGTGGGTCCATGATTGAGATCTGCACAATGAAAAGGCTTGAAATGGTACCATGTTGGCGGTGGCCCAAAATGGTGTCCAATAAGCGGCTCATCATTTGATGGTGGGCCGCACACAACCTCCCATACCCCTCATTGTGCGGCTGGGTGGAGTTAATACCGCACAATGCGCCCGATGTGCCACGCAATAAAAAGCCAGCGCACATAGCTTTGTGCGCTGGTCGTTGAGTAATGGGTTGGGCCGTTTTGGGCCCAACTTTCCTTTATTTTTCTGGGCTTTGACCCCTAACAAAATGGCCCCCACTTTTGAGTTGGGGTGCATGAGGTGGAGGGTAGTTAAATATTCGGAAGTAGCATTTAGTTATACCTAACCACGGTTAAGTTTCGCTTTTGAGCATTAAGCTTATCGTTACTTTATGCTTGATTAAAGTAAGGTGAGATTGAGGTAGCGCTCGAAGCTAAGATAGTTTTCGAGGCTAAGATAGATCTCGAGGTCGAGATAACGCTCGAGGCCGAGACAATGCTCGAGGCAGAGATAATGCTTGAGGTTGAGATAATGTTCGAGGTACAGCAAATGTTCGAGGCCGAGATAATGCTCAAGATCGAGATAGTTTTCGAGGCCGAGTTAACACTCGAGACCAAGATAGTTATCGAGACCGAGTTAACCCTCGAGGTTGAGATAATGTTCGAGGTTGAGTGAATGCTCGAGGTGGCAACGAAGGGCATGGCAGTTGTGGACATGGTGGCCAAGGTGGCACCGAGGGCGTGGCCCTATGTGTGGCTGTGGTGGCGAAGGACGTGGTTGTCTTGTCGTATGGCCGAGGTGGTCGAGAGCATGTCCGCCCTATGTGGTCGTGGTGATGACTGAGGTGGCACCGAGCACGTGGCCTCCTATGTGGCCGTGGTGATGACTGAGGTAATGCTCGAGTTCGAGATAATTCGGAAGGTCGAGATATTAAATTATTGAACTATAATATTAAATTTTCGATGACATGTCTAAATCAACTATTATTAAATCCATATTGATATAAAAAATGTAAATCGATATTTCATTTATATGGGTAAACAATTGACGAAATATTAAAAGACATCTCGATAAAATATTATTAACAATTAATAAGAATTAATTTTTTTCTAAATATAAGACGCTGATTTGTTAATTTTAAATAATTTTATGAATTTCTTAATTTTCATAATTTTTTTCAAAAATATCCATCGTTTCCTCCAAACTTTGAAAGTGTTTGGTAGGTTTTTGTTTTAATATTTTTTAATTGAATAGAATGTTGAAATTATTTCATGATTAAATTATCCGATTTAAGACTTAGTGAATTGATGGAAATGTAGGAATCGAAGGAAGAAAATTTGAAAATTCTACCAATTTCTCTGATTATTTGGGGGAGAAAGTAGAAAGCTTCCTCCGACATTTTTTATTTTCTAATTTTTTATAAATTTATTAAGTATTATGTCATAACAATTTATCATCAAATAATTTTAATATTACTAATGCCATAAATGGGAAAGAAAAAATGTTAAACCGGGAACTAAATTAAAACTTTTTAAATATTAAGGACGAAACTGCAAAATTTTTAACTAAAATAATATATATATTTAGCCAAAAAAAAAACGAAAAGATCGAAGGGGAAATAAAGTGGCACGTTGTCAAAGGTGATTTTGAAGGATGTAGAAAGAACAGAGCTAATAGGTGATGGAATGGTTTAGAATCATCCGGAGGTCAAGTTAGAGCTTTTTGCCAATACTTAGCTTTAGTTATTAGAGCTTTTTGCCAATACTTAGCTTTAATTACCCTTTTAAATCGAAGGTGTATTTAATACTATTTTTTTTCTTTTTTAAAGATCGAGAGTTCAAATCTTCATATTATACTAAAAAAAATTGAGTGCCTCCCAAATATGATTGTCGTTCTGTTCCTATCAAAATATTCCAATTTCTCTATACTTTCGTTTCTTTAATTATATACCTGTTTTTTACTATCTTTAATTGTACAAATGTTGTTATCTTTTAATTTTAAAATTAAATGACGTACTAAAAATAGTTGCCTTTTTTTAATGATGGTCCACCTAAAGTTTAAAGAAAATAAATTGGGGATTAAATTAAAATTTTAAAATTGTATCTAATAAGTTTTTGAACTTCGAAACACGTCTAAGTTTTTGCCCTTTTTGACATTTTTTTAACTATTCAAGATCCTAATAGACTTGGAATTGTGCCAATTCCTTGACATTTTTTTACATTTTTTTTTTAATTTACTACCCATTAAACACATGAAATTAAAAATTCAAGATCCTAATATATGCAAAATTCAATTTTACCTCTAATAGGTACATGAGTTTCAAATATGTCAATGATCTATTAGATATAAAATTAAATGTTCAGGAATCTATTAGACACACAGAATGAAAGTTCAAGTATCTATTGACACAAAATTGAAAATTAAGTCTTAGCATATACTTTTTAAGGTTTAAAGATCTATTAGTTACGACCATTTGTTAGAGATAAAAATAGAAAATCTTAGACTCTTGAGTTCGAAGTCCTCACAGTATTTTTTTCTTCTTCTAATTAACCTTATTAATTCACAAATTGAGTTTTGTAATTGTGAATCAATTTAATATTTGAGCCGTCTAAAGTGGTCGTGTTTTAGAACTTAAAATGACCAAAGTGTAACTATTTATTACCAAAACTTTAGGAAGTAAAAAGTATATAACCCTATAGTTAACATAAAATGCAGTTGATAAAAATACATACACAAATTTATGAGAAAATAACCAAATAACCCTCGTATCTACATATTCCAATCTCTCTATATTTTTTTATATGATTATAGGTTTTATCTTATACTCACCACTATCAAATGTTTGACAAATGAGGGAGAAATACAGATGAATATTTTTTTTTAACAATGGTCAGCATAGTGATAGTTGTTCGCCAGTCAACATCTAAATATTACACTTCCATAAAAATTAATGTTGTTAGTGGTAAATAATGCTGACCTGACCAGTAAACACCTTATACGTACGAACAATGACTACAAGCCAAAGCGGGACTCGCTTCTATTCTATTCAGATAGATAATGGCAAACGAGTCAATTTACTATCAAATTCAATGACCCAATTGGGAAAAAAACCATTTCTACTTTAGCTTACAGCTACACCTCGTGTTTCAAGTTTCAATGAGGCCAACCAAAAGAAGTATAAGTGTGGGGTGATGGATTTAAAAGCAACATATGATATATACACTTCCTTTATAGAAGTCGATATCCGTTAGGCCACAATTATTACAAAGAGCAGCCAAAGAAAGTTGATGGGAGACTGCACAAATTACTATATGCTGGATAGTGGAACATAAAGCTTCTTTTTGCTCTTTGTTCTTTTTAAAGGAAAAACCAAGCCAACTTGGAAGTGGAGCGATTAACTTTCCAAATGGTTGGCTATAACTTAAAACACACAGAGAAATTACCTCAAAAAGATGGTAGCTTTCTTTAACTTTTTGAAGTTCTCTAGAAGTTCTCCTTGTGGAAGTGAAACCTTGTTGAGCTGTCGCTGAATTCTTTGCAGCATTCGCGCAATTGCTTCACAAGAGAGTGTTGTCCACAGTAAAATACACCTGCAACACCAACAAGACAAGAATTTAACAATTGTTTTCCTTGAGGTTTCATTTGGTTAATGTTTTGTTGTTCAGATTAGGCTCCATTCTAATCTCACCAATTTCAGAACCTTTGTGTGTAGATGCCAACCCTCTGAAAACTTTCTTCCAGTCCGGTCTTGCAAAATGAGTCCTTATCTGTGACAATGGGTTGAATTAAAACACAAGCCAAATGGGGAATATTGTTGTTTTGTTTGTAAGTTGTGTATCAAGATCATTACCCGGCTTCCCGAGATGACGTCGACTTCACCTCTAGATTGCTGAATTCTTTGCACCATTGTAATGAGCGCGGATCGTGCATCGCCTTCCTCGTGCACGCAGCTTAAGTGGTTGTGCATTTCTATTATTTTCTGCAATGATTCAAATGAAGTGAAGTTGATTAAATGCTGGTAGATTGAGTATGGAATTGAGTGATTTTATTGTTTGAAATCTCCAACATACGTCTTGGTCGTATTCCGCTATATCGTCCATGACACCTTTAAACCAATCGAATGATGCTTGTTCCTTTGTCACCCAATAGAAATATGCTCTCTTTGGGACCTTTGGAGATCCGGTCTGCATTTGCTTGGATTAGTTCCAACAACATTTTTTACTAAATTGATCACAGTTTGAGATTTGCTTCGCTTACAGAGTGGGAGCTTTCATTTGTTTTCATGTGGTTAAGTAAATCTTTCAAAATACTGATCATTGGAGTAGCCCCAATTCCAAGGCCTATGAGCAACAGAATGTCATACTTCTTGTAACCCTGTGCTGGAGCTCCATATGGTCCTTTGATGAAAATCTGAGGATATTTGTCACTGCAAATACAGAACCAACCCATTTAATCACTTTGTGGGATTGCAGTTGCAGATTCAGACGAGTTTTTTCTCACCTTGATTCTGAAGGAACGTAATCCGAAAACGTTTTGGTTTCCAGTCTAACAATTCCCCCCTTTTTCCTTGTGTTTTCAGGTTCACATACCTGCATTTCCTCTGAATTTAGTGCGTAGAAATGGATGAAAAATAGCAAACAGTGATGAAGAATAGAAGGCACAAGAGCTTGATCGTAGAAATATGTATTACGGATTTAAATCTGTTTCTGAGCTCTCTTGTCCAGTCTCCTACTGCACGTATATGGACACTTAAATAGTCATCTCCTGGTGCAGAAGTGATAGAGAATGGATGCCTGTATCCAGTGAAAACAATCCCAATTTCAAGCAATCAAACTTCCAAACACCCTATAATCAACTTCTTTAAGTTAAAATATGAGATATTACCATTCAAATTTTGATATATCCGGGCACTTAACAAAGAGATACATTCCACTTTTGTACTTGAATCCCGAAGGTTTCGCCAAGTATAATGCTAGAACATTTCCACTATATACTACTCCCTGAAATATCCGAGCACAACCGAAGAATTTGTTTAGTTTGCTCAACCGAACTTCCAAGAAAAGATAAAAGGGTTGCAGATCTTTGTACCTTTTTCACACTGACTTTATGGTAAAATTCGTGGAATTTTATAATAAGTCTCTCACTCACATACAGAAGTAATGGAACTGCAATGTACATCCATGTCTGCATAGGAAGATAAATGATAAAAGGATTTTGAGATCATTGCTATGATTCACTGATTTGTTCAATTTAAACTATGGTTTTGCTCACCAATTACAAAGTAGAGATTATTCGTCCTGATTATCCTATGGTTTTGATTATACACCCTAAACTTGATATTATTAACATGGATGAAGGTACTGACGTTAGATAACAGTGATACGACGACGATGTACGTACCGTTCTCTTGTACCAATCCTGAGTTAGGTATATGAAGTAGCCATGAAGGATCAGTAGGACATAGACCAGAATAAGCAAATGATGTGCATACCAGAAGGCATTGAAGCCTGCCAAATGGCGAAACAGCGGCGGTAACTTTTCGGCATTCCTCCTGAATAAAGGAGTTGCCAGTGTGAAGCAGAAGGCCATTATAATGACCATGAGGATTCCAGTAACACCAGGAACACTAGCAACCAAGTCAGGGTAACTTGGCTGCTTGAAGTCAAAATTTGGCCCAAGAATTGCCATGAATTTGTTGCTTGGGCATGAGGTCAATCTTGGAAAATCACAGGTCAAATGCATTATCACATGAAGAAAAGTGCCCACTGCAATGGCTATAGCAGTCAGCATGTGGAACTTGATATGGTCATCAAAAGGGAATATGGAGCTGAGAAAGGTGGATCTAAGTATGGTTAATGTGCCTCTACAAACAAGAAACAGAACTAGAGCCATATTGAATTTCAGAGTCTCAGCTGCTCCCTTTGCAACACAAAGGCAATAACCCATCACTTGAAACGCCCCTTTGTTCCTGTACTCCATGAATTTCCAAACGAACAGACCCACATTTATGGCTACCCACAGTGTGAAAACCCAGATTCTTTTCCAATTCGCATTCATAATTTCTTTTGTTTCCCTTAGAAACCTGCTTGCTGGAGTTCCATATTTGCTTAGAATCAGGGACGATACCTGAAGTTTAGAATCTTGGCTCTGCAACCTTTTCCCTTCTTCACTGCTCCACATCTCCTTTACTAGAATTTCCATATGCTCGATCTGTTTAAAGCTACATCAGTTCTTACAGAAGAATTTAAGGTGAAACTGAAAAAGGTGCTTTTCTTTTCTTTTCTTTCTTTGAATTACCTCAATAAATCCGTTGCGGTCTGGATCAAGCTCTTCCATGATCAGAGATGCGAATGTGTCAGTTTGTTTTTTCAGATTTGTCAAGTTGTTTGCAGAAGCACTCCACTCCAATACCGTCTTCACCTCTTCCTTTGAGATCTTACCGTCGCCATTCTTGTCACATCTGAAAACACAGTTGCTTCAGAATCGTGGATTCAAGTTTGCTTCAGAATCGTGGATTCAAGTTCAGGAGGATAGAGAATTAGAAAGATATAAAGAGAAATTTTACAAGTCGAAGAATATCTGAAGCCTCGAATCTAGGTCATCTTTATTCAAATCTTCCCAAAACACTCTCAATTCTTGAAGTGTAATTCCTTTCTCTGCCTTAATCTCTCTTCTCCTAGCCAATACAACATACAGTTCCCCGGCAAAGTCTGTTGGATCCTTTTTCATATCTAAAACAGAAACCACAAACCGAAATTCCTAAATACAAATTTAGCCAAAAAGAAGAGGGAAAAAATGGAGATTAATCACACAGAGAAGGAAAGAGTTTCACCAATGCAGGCTCCAAATTTGTCCTTGCGAAGTTTTCCATCAGGCGCTAGCTGCTTAAACCGCTTCTCAATTGACTTCCACGCTTCCTCTTCTTTTCCGGCGATGGAACCTTCCAGAAACCTCAACATATTAAATCCTTTCCGTCGCCTTTTATCTCTGACAGTTGGCTGAGAAGAATCGCCGCCGGTCTTCTTCACGTCGCCACCACAACTGCTCTGCTTCAACTCCACCGTCCCGTTCAAATCTTTTAGTTCGACGTTTTTGTCAGCCATCCGATCAATCTCGATGCTCTCCAGCAAGCATTCTGCTGGATTTTCTTCCGCCGTTTTATCTGAGCCCTCCATCGACTTCCTCTTCAAGCACCTGTTCAGAAAACAATGGAGGAAGGAGCTGCAGATTTGAGATTATGTATTTTTATTCTCTAGTTTTTGTGATTTGAGAGATGAACAGAGTGTTCGGAGGAAGGCGGAAGATCATGGCCGGCCGACTGAGGCTGATGAAGACTCGACTGTCCAGTGAGAGTTTTTGAGAACTTATAAATATTTAAATAACCATTTCGTACCAAATTTTCAATTTTATTTTTCCTTTTTTATCAAAATAATTTTCAATTTTTTTCGCTCAACTTTTAAATATTTTGATTCTTATTTATTTTCGCCCGTGTTTCTTTATATTTGTTATCTACTTTTTTTTTTTTTAATGTTTTTAAAATTTAGGCTAAAAGTTGAAAGCTTAAAAGGTGGTTTTAATAACTTTTATTTCTTTATTTTTTTAATTTGGCTAATGGATCAAATTAGTGTTTAAGAAAGGTAAAAAACATACCAAAAATAAAAAACTAAAAATGAAATTGTTCGCAAGGCCTAAACTATTATAACGTGATTTCAAGTACTTCAAATTGATATTTGTTAATCAAGTAAATGAAACTTTGTGGAAGCTAATCTAATCAAAAGTTATGTTTAAATTTCCACTTATAGTTAGTGATGTAATATTCTTTTAAAAAAATGAATATTTCATTGAAGAAAAAAATTGTGTTAAAAAAGTACTTATAGGGATCCTCTTTTCTAGCCGCTATGCAAACAAAATTCAAAAAATTTATATATGATTTTTATATAACTACACTATCTAAAACCATTTTGATTAAGGTCTCTACACTTCCAATAAATTTTAAAAATAGTTGCCTTTAAAAGTTTGAGATTAATTTTTATTTGATTTCACAAAAATAATAACAATAGTATTTTGTTTTCATTCACTATGTGAAATTTGTTTGAAGAGGTAAGAATCAAAATGAAACAACATAAAAATTCTTGAGCTGCAAAATGATTGTTTCATGTGCTGATATAAAGCCAAACTTGAAAGTATTCAAAAGAAAAGGATGAATTTGGATGTGAAATAATTTAAAGAAATAAAAAAGAGACAAAGTTATGTCTTATGAGACATGACTGGCCAACAACTTGGTTACCTTTGTCAAGAAAGAAAGGAAGAAAAACAACCACCAGCTATCACTTTTCTTCATGTAAACAATATCCCTTCAAGGACGAAATGAAACATAAATTTTAAGCATTTGGAAATTGTCATTTTTCTATTACAGGCTCTCTTGTTTCAGTAGATATGAAAATGTAGATTCGTACTCATATAAAAATAGGTGTTTTTATCGGTTGAATTATATTATAACATGATTTAATTTTCTTCGAGTACATTTGGGCTTTAAATTTTGTCCAAGACATAATTTTAAATTCATATAACGTCGGTAAAAAGTCTTAAATTTTTTTAAATTAAGATGTGGGCTTTATTTGTGCCTCGATTTGAAGTTATGATATATATTTTTTCAATATATATAATTTTGAGAAAAAGAAATGATAAATTTTATTATATTGCTTTACAATTTTATCAGTTAATTATTTCATGATAATTATATATTAAGTTATCAATGTATTATTTTATATTTATTACCTAATTAACTATACTGTTTAATTAGCTAAAATATACTTAATTAGTAAGATAATATTTTAGTTGTTAGTTGCGAAATGAACCAAAAAAATTATCAGTTGTGAAACAATAATTGGCCTAATTATTATTTTTAAATATAAGTTCCAAAAAAAAAAAAACTAGACAAAATTAATAATTCAATGATATAGATTTAATATCATACCAATGTCTTATTACATGTGGAAAACATTATTAAATAGGAAAGCATCCTCTCAATTATTATTATTTTTTCCTTTTGAGAAATTCTCAATTATTATTATTTTTTAATACAACAGAAATTCTCAATTACTGTTACTATTTGTTTCCAGAAATATATATAGTTACCATTTTTAAACTGTTATTATTATTATTATTACCTTTAAAATAAAAAAAAATTATTGAGCGGATAAATATGTATTAAATATACCTTGTAAAAAAAAGATAAAAGAAGAAAAGTATTTACTTAATAAATGTATATTTTTAAATATAACAGAGAATTTAAAATTTTACCATTCAAACTAAATTCAAAGGAAAATGATTTTTTTTTTTACATTTTTTAAAATATATATTAAATTTATATTATATAGTACAATTTTAAAATAATTTTCTTCTAAAGTACGTAAACTTTTCAACAATAATAGATATTTTAATTGTTTTTCAATAAATACTGCACGTTGTAATTAATTAAGTCGAGAACGGCCCATGTACTGAGAAATGAATAAACAATTTAATAAATAATTACAAAACTTTTTTCAAGGAGAAAAAAAGGCTATGAATCCCTTTTTATATGTATAGTAACTCTTTTAAGATGATTTTTCTTTAGTAGCATTACTGTCAAAGAATACCATTTTTTTTAATTGATGTTTGGATCGCACGTTCTATGCGGATGAATTAAAAACAATGCCACCAACTTCGGTGGATATTTCTGACTTAGAGATTTTATTTTAAAAAAATAAAAATAAGAAATATTTTATGGATTCAACGTATTAATATTTAAAATTTGAAATTTTCAGAATGACTCAACCACGAAAAGATGACGTGGCATCTTTATATAATTCTATATCATTTTGCACATTGATGTGGCGATATTTGATAAAACTTTAATAGTTTTAACCCAATTTTTTAATCTCTCTCTCAAACAACATTTTGTTTTATTTAAGATTTACGAGTCAATTTCCCACCTAATCTACCATATTTTAGAAAGTATATTTTTTAAGGGTACATTTCAACAAGTATTTGTCAATTTATCAATAAATAAATAAATATTCATGTGTCATGTGTATCAATATGTAATTCGTCTTTATGTTTTGTCTTGAGACAGTAAGATATTAAATCCAATAAAAATCCTAACTTAAAGATATTGACAACCAATTTGTTCATTTGAACTTTAAAAAAAAAAACATGGAGAGCCAATAAATAACCCATTTGAAAGTTTAAAATAATGTATGGATTTTCTTTTGGGTTACAACTATTTTACACCATTTAAAGAAAATAAAAAACTAAGTCTTAATATTTTTTTAATTATTATGTGAGAGTGAGGGATCGAACTCACAGCCTCTAGTTTAGAGATATATGTAAATTACTATCGAACTATACTCGTTTTGACAACTAAGTTTCAATAATATTAAATCGTATTCGATAAATTTCACTAAAATATAACATTAACAATAAACTTATATTAACAATAAACTTATGATATTTAAAAAAAACAATAAACTTCAAGAAAAAAAACTACATAGATTTTATTATTTATGATATTTTAATCAAATAGCAAATCTAAGTCTAACTCAATGGTTAAGATACTTATTTTCGATCAAAATGTGGTGAGTTTAAAATTAACTAATCAAATAGTTAGTTTTTCAAAATATTACAAAAGGGAAAGATTCTTTTTTAGTAGAGCAAACATGGGAGCGCGAAGATTCAAACCTAAGGTTAAAATTATTCGGGCATTTAAACCATGTTCGTTCTTCATTTATTATATGTATAAACAAACTTAATTGAAAGTAAAGAAATAATTCACTCTAATGCAGCCACGTTGCAAGTAATAGCGAATAAATTTCTATTGTTTAGCCTTAAAAAAAAGTTCTCATCTTTATCTAAAGCTTTTAGATATCTCTAACCTTTCTTTTTTGGTCTTTTTTTTTCTTTTTATTAAGTGGGAAAACGATTTCCCATACAATTCATTTAAGGCATTATCTTATTTTGAATTGGTCATGGGCGTACCAAACCTTTAGGTATTTTGGTATTTCTCAAGGAAGTCTTTGCCTTTTGGCACGTTCTGCCTTTTTCAATATGGTGAGCTGTGGAGCACGTTGTGTTTAACTTAACAGTTAACATCACCAACTCCATTTCCCTTTTGTTTTTTGTTTTTTTTTTTCCTTTTAACTTTAGACTGTGAATATGAATGTATATTTTTAATCAAATTGCAAGCTTGGTGTCTAATAAATCTATAATATATCTCTAAACTTTTAATTTGGTATTTAATAAATCATTTAGATATTTTTTTAAATTTATAAATTTATTAGATGTTTTTAAAGTAAAAATTTTTTAAATAGCACTAAGTCTAAAACAATTACAACTACTAAACTTGTAATTAATTTAATCTTTTTGTTGGGACAGCATATGAACGTGGTTCTATTGGGAGTTGGACTTGAGACTATGTGCACTCATATAGGTCTGTCTGGGTTGGTGACTTCCTATGGTGATCGTCGCTTATGCCGCTAGCAGTCCCCACAAAGATGATTGGTTTAAAGTAAATACAGATGTTGGTTTTTTCTCGGGCTCGCTTCGAGGGAGAATCGGGATGGTCATTTGCGATGCTGAGGCTCTGCGCTTCATCGTTGTCATTTGCTAGTGAGTGAGGTGGGTTTTCGATCCATTCTCCTTAAATCGGATTCCCTCCGGTGTTTTCGATTTCTTATTCAGGACACTAAGGATTTGTCTGAGTTGGCGCGTCTCCTTACTGAGATTCGCCAACGTTGTTCTCTGTTGGGTCCGGTTCATTTCACTTTCACACACCGTGAAGGCAATGCAGTGGCACATAAATTTGTTCGACATTTGAACCGCATTTAGTTTGAAGAGGATCCTCCAGAAATTTCTAGTTTACTTGCTTCTAATTATTCTCTTTCATTCTCCTAAGTTCGTTTCTTTGCACCTGTCAAAAGAAATATAATAATAATAATAATAATGAACGTGGCTATGCTACCTGGTTATTGATTTTTTTTTCCGACATAATAGTGCTATTTCGTTTTGTACTGAAATTTTAGATAGCTTTATAATATTTTTTGTATTTTATTTTTTAGAAAAGACATATAAACACGTTGACGTATATGTCAATTACTGCTGAGTTATACTCGCTTTGACATTTTTCGGTGAGTATTTTAAGACTTATTTAACCATCCTGGGTTTAGTTGGCTCATTATCATTTGACATTTGGGCAAGTTAAAAAATATAAATAAAGTAACCTAATTTAGTTGAATGAGTTCGAATTCTAAGAAGATTAGAAAGAATTTAATGGAATGTCTTCCAATTGTCTCATCGTTAAGATTTTTAATTGCTAGTTCTTCGAGATATTTCTTGCTTGTCGTGTCATGTGATAGAATTGGAAGATTATCACATGAGATGGATCGACGTGCATTTTAGACTTAGTTAGCTTTAACACTTTATGAAGAAAAAAAACTATTTCAAAATAACTTTTTAATTCTGATTAAAAGAATCTAATCAAGTGATATGTAAGTAAGAGGTAAGGGGTAACAATGAGTTGTGATGAATTTAAAGTAAGGACAATTTTATTTATTTTAAAAATAATTTTTATGAGAATACATGAAACAAATATAAATATACTAAAATTTGGTGAATAATTTGTATTAAAATAATTTTTATGAGAATAGATGAAACAAATATAAATATACTAAAATTTGTGGAATAATTTGTATTACTTGACTTTAAATAAATCACCTTCACATCACCTGTCACCGTACACCATGAAGAGTATAGGTCAAATATAATATACTACAAGATTTAAGAAGACGAATCACACTCTAACCTAGCCTAATTTAATTGATTAAAGTATGTATCACCGATTAGAAAACCGTGTATTAGAATCTCTATCGCCACATATATTAAAAAAAGAGATATTAATTACTTTAGTATCTTAAATATTTTGACAACAATGAATAGCGTAGTTTTCCATAAACTGAAACTAAACAGGAAAAACAATACATGTCTAAAAGGCTTTTTATGCAAAAAATAATATTAAAAAGTACACAAATTTACGAGCAAAAATATATGACGCTGAATACTTGAGTTTTTTTTTTATACAACATATAAGGGTGTGGATCGAATCACAACCTCTTCGTTTGAGATATGGACCAATTATCACTAAGTTATGCCCGTTTTGAATGAATACGTGAGTTACATCATATCATTGAAGCAATTTAAATATAGATTAGTAGATAAATACGAATTCTAAAGTCAGGAAGTTTTATTCCCTACGCTACAATTATTGAACCGAAGAGAGGAAAAAAAAAGAAAAGAAAAGAAACATTTCATCCCTTTAGTAGACACTATAGTGTTGTTTCTAAGGGAAGAAAAAAAAGACACTTGATAAAATTTTAGTATCTAGGATTGTGTACGTATTTGTTGCATTAACTTTTGAGAAAATTACTTCCGTTGGAAAAAAAAAGCTTGACGTAATTTTCTCTTCTACAGTTATATCTAATTAAACAAAGCCAATTACACAATATATGAGAAATAAAGAAATGACAAAAACGACACAACAAATTATACTGGTTCACCTAATAATTACTACGTCAAGTTTTTCGCTCAGATCAGGTTCCAAAAGAATTGGTACAAGTGCTCTAATATCTCCGCAGATTTCCACACCCAATAAAAGATATCTAGCTTCTAAGTATTCTAACACGATATACTTAGTTACAATGATGAAAAACTCACAAAATAATTGGTAACTAATTACCTCAAACAATGATCTCGATCTGGCTGCCAATGCTCCAAGTCGTCGCTTCTAAATGCCGCAAAATTCTCTCAAAATTTCAGCTGACTTGAACCCTGACAGAATGATATGTATTTATAACACATTGTCGTAGCATTGAGACGTTGTCCTTAGTGTTTCAACGCTACAGACGAATCGCCCAACTCGCACGCCTCCCTTGCGGTAGCGTCTCAATATTAAGAACTTTGTAGGTGACTTCTTTATTCTGTAGTGTTGAGTCACTCTGATGCAGCGTTTCAATACTACTTCTTTAAACGACGTGCCCATGTAGCTCCTTTTAATTTCTCTATTCCTTCTTCTTTCAATTATTCGCCGCTTTAATTGTGGTTAGGCTCCATCAATCCCAACAACTTCATTCGATAGAATTTTTTAAGATTTTAGCATTTAGGATCATGTACGTATTTTAGTACTTAGTATTAAGTATTTATTAAATACAAATTATGTACGTATTCTACACTCCCCATGTCCGAAACTCTCCCATTTCAAATTGTTAAAGAGATAATATCTTTGGAGGGCTGTTTTAGAAACTTATTTACACAAATGTCTAAAATTTTCTAATTTTACACTTTTAGATTTCTGCATGTAGGATTTTATTTTAATTTCGATTTTACCCTTATTTATTATATTTACATTTATTATAGTTATTTGTTTTTTTTTTGAAATATAAAAGATTTAATTCCATAAATTATTATCGTAATTCTTTAATTATTGTTGGCTCATACTAATTTTCAACACAAATCCCTTAATTCACTCATTCAAAATCTTAATTTACTCCTTCAAAAAGATTGATTTTCACTTAATTCACTCCCACATTGGTGCTCAATCTTCAAGGACAATTCACACAAACATCTTTTGAAGTCTCAATAAACATATCCACAATCAAAAAATATATTCAATATCACAGTATATATCCACTTATATATTCGCATATATACATTCAAAATCACTATAGTATATATCCGCATATCTGCATATATACAAGTTGAGTTATAAGATATATCCACTTATATATCCGCATATATACATTCAAAATCACTATAGTATATATTCACATATCCGCATATATACAAGTTGAGTTATAAGATATATCCACTTATATATCCGCATATATACATTCAAAATCACTATAGTATATATCCGTATATCCGCATATATACAAGTTGAGTTATAAGATATATCCTAATCAAACTCACTATAATATATATCCTCATATATACAATAGTTCACATGAAATCAGAAACCGAAAACAATCGTTGGAATATAAACCTTTCGATCAGGATAAACGAAGACAAACTGCTCTGACGACAAAGAAAAACGAAGGCGACCGGAGATGAAGGCAAGCAGACATCAGCTGAAGACGAAGGCATGCAGAAACGACTGGAGAA